TGATCTATGTTGAAGGTCTACCTAGGTGCAAAAGTCTTTTGTTATTAAAAAAATAAGATGAGGGGAAAGTGAAAAATTCCCCTCTTTTATATGGATTTTTGTTTGGTTTGGTTTTAAGCTAGTAATTGCAACGGTAATAGAAGACCAGGTAAGTTCACTGTCGCTGTTTAGTTTGCATGCAGCAGTAAAAGCAGATGCAGGATGACATTGACGGTGCTGTTACCTTACCTGCAGTGGTCCTTGCATGATGTTAAGTTAAACCTGCTCTTGCAGATAATTCTTTGGTAAAAAAGAGAAGGCAATCCCTACTGACTGTAGTTTGTAGGTGTCTAGAAAACCTTCTCAGGAGTCCTTTTTCTGATGCAAAGGGCTTTAGAAATGCCTTCTTCAGTGTTCGAGATAAATCCGTTTCATTTCCTGCAATGTGAGGTGAATGTGAGTTTGCTTCCTAGGTGGAAACTGAGGGCTTCATCCTGCTTGCATTTGTCTTGGTGGGAGCAGATCCTATCCTGCAGTGAACATGCAGACACCATCAGTTGTTAGAGATGAGTTTTCAAGATATTCTGAAAACTTTGGACTGTATGATCTGCAACAGAAGGGAATTCTTATTAAAAGATAATAATCTTATTCTATTTATGAGACTTAAATAAAACTTTCCAGTGTTTCTTGCAGTGTCTGTACTCCCCTAGCTTATTTATGTTATTTTCCTGTCACAGTGCCTTTGTTCAAGATGTCTCTTTTTGTGTGGGAAACCCAAAGTTTCAGTATTCCCTGTTTAACATTCAATGGCTGCTCTTCACGGGGAGGGGGAGAGAAGGGAAAGGAATGGTTGCAGGATATTTTAACTCATAGACTTCTCACTGTGCATGCCGCAGCACACACACCTGATTGTTCTGTGAGCTCCCTTGGGGCTCTGGATGCCTTTTATTCTTTACTAGTCAGTCATTGGCATAAATCCCGAGAAGGCAGCATGGATAGGGTTGGCTGTCCCGGATCTTCCTAGCCAGGCTGAGCCTGAGGATGAGCAAGTCTGAGGCGATGAAGAAGGCTGAGCCTGTGGATGGACATGTGGATTGAGGATTGTGTGATGCTGTGTCCTGCCGGAGACAACCAAGTGAAGTGGTGCATCCTTCCAACAGAGGCTTTGCTTGAGACTGTACTGAAAACACAGTAAGCTTTTATTCAGATGCTGCAGCACAGTGTTAACTGTGTCTCAGCTGCACCTTTTCTCATTTTAAGTTTCTAGTGGGCATACCTGAATGGCTCTTGAAAAGGAGGAACCAGGTGGAGCCAGTCCATGCCAAATGCCTGGCACCAGGGCTTCTGCTGTGGGGTTCACGCTACTGGAGCATGGCCTGCCTGTAAAGGCTGGGGAACCAAACCAGAGTCATTGTGGACCCCTTGGTGTCACTGGGAACAGTGTTTGCAGAAGGTGTCCTAACACAAGTACTGGATGCATTGAATTCCCCTGTTCCAGAGGCTTCTAATATTTGACACTTTCAGAAATACTCAATTCACTTTTCCTTAAGCCATCTCTTGTAACTGACATCACTTGTATGGTGTAGCAGATGTACTGGTCATCAAGGAGCTTGTCTACAACTATTAACTTAGTAAATGGAGTCAGCTAACTCTGTTGGGGGGAGGTGTTAACGTATGGGCTTCTTGTTTAGAACTTCATTTTAGTCATTCAATGCAGCTCTTGAGTGAGATGGGCAGCCAGGAGGGCTGCATCTCTTGAAATGAAGGCTTCTTGCCTTGTTTGGGAGGTCAAACATGCATTCCTTTGAATTTCAGATGGCCAAGAGCACTTCTCGCCTTTTTTTTTTTTCATAGACAGTGCTAGATACATCAAAAGAATTAAAAAAACTCTACCTTTCCTGCAATATTTCACCTTTCTGTGAAATAGCAAGTGCAGTGAAATCATAACAAACCCAGATGTTCTCGGACTCCTTCAAAACCTCTGCTGCTGCAGAGCAGCTTTGTGAGCATGCAGGATGCAGAGGCTAACAGTGGTGCCTTCAGGGGAGGTGAGGAAATGCAGGTGTCTGGTACAGACTTCCTGAATTCTGAAGCTGATTCTTTTAAAAGATACCCTCCCACGAATCTGCAGATGTGCTGCATTGCATTCTGGCTGGTTGTGGTATGCATGAACGAGAGCTCCTGTTTCGGGGCTGCCTGTGCTGAGAAAAGGGGGGAGAATCTTGCATTTGCAGTTGTAATTCTTTACAGCAAGAGGGGCTGACTCTCCATGGGCAGAAAGCGTTGGGCTCTGTGGACAGCAACGTTAGCAGATCATTCTGAGGCAATGGCGTGTCTTTGTGCTCTTTACATAAAGCCTGAGACTCAGTCTTCTGAAAAGTGAGTCAGGGAAGCGAAGAAATCCCATTAATCTGTCATCAGGACCTGGCCACTTTTGTGATCTTGGTGCATCTTCTAAGCGTTAAGTGCTAAATGGGGGGAAATAAATGTTCAAGTGTCTGTGCTTGACAATGTAAGAAGAAATTGAGGGATGGGAAATCTAGATCTAAGGCCTCACTGTTACATCCATCCCCCTAATAGAGCAGGAAGAGAAATGGTGACAGTTGCTGAAGAAAATAGGAAGCAGCTTCTGCCCTGGCTGACGGGTGAACACAGGCCACTGCCTCAGTCTGCTTCCAAATACGGGACTGACCACACTCAACACAAGTTTGGTTTCTTTGGGTCCCAAAACATCTCTCCCACATAGCTGTGCCCTTTTATTTGTCTTTTTATTGTTATTTCTATTTTGTGTTCTCAGGAGAAAGAGAGAGGTTAACACCCACAGATTCATAAAAACCACAGTCAGTTCTTTCTTAACTGGGTCTCTGCCAGTAGCTTGGCCTCCCTGTTCACAACTTACCAACTTACTACCAGCTCCCTCCAGACGCAAGCTACCAAGGTGTGACAAGTGGGTTCTTGCTCTCTGCATGTGTAGCATGTCTGGAAGGACATCTGGAGTCTTTCCCCAGGCCCTTGTCACCCGCCAGAGCTGTGGCAAGACATTGTGGTGCTGGAGGTGCCCCTAAAGGGGGGCTGGAAGTGGCAAGAGCAGAAGGTGCCCAGCATCAGCGCAGAGGTACAGTGCGTCCCTGCTGTGCCGTAGACATTCAGCTCATTTGTCCTTGCTTACTGCAGGCCCGGTGCCTGCTTGTGCCCTTGGATTCACTGGTGCACCTCCAGCAGGCACAGCCCCCTCTCACTAGGCTGGGCCTTCACTGGAAGCTCTGGCTGTATTTGAGGTATTGCTCATAGCGGGATGCATTTCATTTTTGTTGCAGAGCACCTCCATCCATGAATTGCCTCCAGCTTTGGAAGGCAGGCTGGAGTTTACGCTCTCCTGCATAGCCACGGTGCAGTTAGCGTTCCCACAGCAGGGCCCTTGGGCTGGGGCACAGCCAAGGCAACGTGCAGGCAGAGCAGTGCCAAGGTGGCCGGGAGCAGAGAAGTTCATGTCCTATTGCTTGAAGTGCAGGTCTTCTGCAGGTGTCTCTTTTCTCCCAACGGCCAATACAGTATCTCTTTGGTTATTTTTTTATCTTCTTGTGACATGTGCAGGTGGCAGGAGGGCCAGCCAACGGCCAATACAGTATCTCTTTGCTTATTTTTTCTCTTGTTGTGACATGTGCAGGTGGCAGGAGGGCCAGAGTATGGCTTTTCACAGCCTCAGTATCTCTGTTGCATGAAATTACTATTTCCACTGTATTGCCTTGCTTGGTGTTGTGTCTGGGCCAGTAGTGAAAGCAAAAGAAAAGACACTGCTGAATTGAGCCAAGGGGAATTATGAACAGTTCAGAACACAGGTGGATACTTAAGAGGGTCATGGGCTTAATAGCATAGGCTTTCCAGGCTGCTGCTTACTCTCCGCCGCTTTCCATTTGGCTTTTATTAAGGGATCAAAGAGGTTTGGAAGGAAGATGATGATTAAAGTCTGAAAGCTGATGCGTTTAGAAAGAGCTTTATTTTCAACTGCAGTGCCCAGCTTCAGAAGTGCATGTTTTCTGGCGAAGGAGATCTTCGGGGCACATGAAGCGAGGGGGAATTTTTCCCACTGCATAGCTGACCTCTCCCCAGAGCGTAACCTGTCCTGGCAATCCCAGATGTGCCCTCTTGCACCCAAGCTTTGGGTGAAGGAGAAAGCTCCCTGCAGAAATGCTTGCTGCGGGGAGCGTTCCTGTTGAGCTTTGGGTGAAGCAGAAAGCTCCCTGCGGAAATGCTTGCTGCGGGGAGCGTTCCTGTTCTGCCCCTGGGCACTGCGCTCCTTCAGTGCTTGCTCCCCAGTCGGAACAGTAACACAAGGACTCCAGGAAACAGTGTTGTCCTCAGCTCTGAACTGAAAAATAACTTATTATTCTTAAAATAAGCTGAACAGGAAAAATTGCATAACTTTGTCTTGAATTTTTAAGGAAGACATTATTTATGCTGACTGTCTTGAAGAGGAGCGTTAGTCTTGTGGCTTCTAGTCTAGACGAGGAGGTAGAGAAACCTGGCTTCGGTTCCTGGGTCTTCCACACTCTGGCAGAGAACTGTAGCACAGAGACTGGAAGACTTATGTCTACAAATGGAATAAGTCTTAATTATTTTGTTCTCTAATTGAACACCAGGTGTTAATCAAATAGATTTTTTTTTTTCAATCTAATGAAAACAAGGCCATTAGAGGTTACCCTGCTACAATTGTGGTAATTGAAGGATGTTTGAGGCATGTGTTCAGCAGCACACCTAAGCAAAGTTTAGGAGCATGTGTTGACCCATTTAGCAGAGATGTATGTATCTGAGTATATTTTATAAGATTCTTTGTTATTTGATTTTGTTGCTTGATTATATGAATTTGTATTTTTATTAGAACAGATATTACACTTTCTTTAGTGAAGACAAAGTTGCAGAGTAAAACCAGGCTGAATAAAGATAGCCATGGTGCACTTCTACCTTTATGCCATCCTTAGGTGGTTGTGAACTCCTTTCTAATCGATTGTTTCCTCTTCCAGGATGAGAGAAATCCTGAAGAAAGCGTCTCTCCCCCAAGATGATCCTGACACCCCGCTGTCAGTTACCTTGGCCATAGTTGAGACAGATTCCACAGTAGTCTACTATAAAATGACTGATGGCTTTGTACTACCAGATCCTCCTGACGATACTGAAGACGTGGACAATAAACAGTGGAGAAAGAAAAGAAAGAAGCTTTTCAAATGATGAAGACAAACAGACTTTTCTTGAACTACTGCTCTCAAACCTAAACAAATCCAGGAACTTATGTATGTAAATAACATGCTAAAGTCTGCCTTCTGCATATCAAGCATCTGTTCAGGGAGAATGGAGGCTTGTGCCGCTGTGCTGTAACGAAATGCCCTTTAAAGTATGAAATGGGTCACCCTTTTGAGACAGGCTAATAAATATACTTGAGATGCTTCCAAAGCTAGTCTCTCCTTTCTATGGGTTCAGGTACATAACAGAATAAACACATCCTTACCCCTATTGTAAATATTGATTCAAAGTACATCTGAAGGGTGTCTGGAAGGAGTACTGATACCAAGTTAAGGGCTTTGTAGTTTACAGAGTGTCTTTGTCTTAACCGAGTCAGAAGCACTCATGCTACCTCCCAGGTTACATTTCTGAACACTTACCTTCTTTCTCCTGCTTGTGGAGAAAACACTTTTCCACAGAAATACTTTATTTTACATTTTTTTTCTGCAGAGGGAAAACTGACGATAGCAATACCAGAGGCTGCTAGAACAAAGTATAGATTAGTACAGAGGGGTCTCTGGATCTGCCTGTAGAACCGATGAGTGGAGGTAGGTTATGACTGGATCAACCACACCTGAAAGTGTTGACCCAGGGTAGTGTTTCCCACGTGGCTGAACGCATACCATGCTAAAGGTCACGATTGGAAACACTGCCAGGGTCCTGTTCCACGTACCGTGTTGGATGACCGTCTGAGAACTGGAGGTGCCTGGTGTTTGCATCCCAGTGTGAAGAAGTTGTCTAAATGGTGACCCTCTCCTTGGGCTTCCTGTCTGCGAGACAGCTTCAGTGTGCTTTTAGTGCTTCACCGTCATGTTAGTGCTTAAAGCTCTCTAAAGAGGAGCCAAAAATGGGGCATGTTTTTATTTGTCACCAGTGTCACCTTCTGTGCTAGAAGTGGGCTCTAGCTGTTATCTGCTGCATGCAGCTAGCAGCTTTCTAAACCCATTGTAATTTCTGGGATTTTTTTTTTTTTTTTTTATTACATAGCTTCTGCTAGTTAAACTGGCTGCACAAGAGGTGCTTTGGCTAGGAGTAAGGTAAGAGGAAGAAAACTGACTTTTAGTTTCTTCTACAGGAATTTTCCATGTCTTTCACATACAAATCTTCTTCAGGTTAAACTTAGAGTTTCTTGGCAATCAACATCCCAGAAGCAGCTTCTTGAGTACAAAAATGTCCGTATGACATTTGTGTGGCCAAGGACCACACATTCAAAATTTGCAGCACAAGAGGCCTTTTTTTGCATGGCTATAAGAATGGGAGAGAGTCCAAAAACCCAAGCTGGAAATGAAAGGCCATTTAAGCTTCGGTATCCCTATGACTGGAGTGGATTTTTTTATGGGTGCAGAGTTCGAACCTACTTTGGGCAAATACGCTGGGAGGCAGAATGGTCTGTCAGGGGGGTAGGAAGGCCCTCGCACCCAAGTGACGCCGGGCATTATGTTTGGGTGCTCATCCTGCAAGTGTTCTGCAGGCACCTAGTCCGGGCGAGGAGGGCAACTGCTTTTCTGCTTGGTCTGACTTCATGCCTCTCGGGGTGTTCCTGGGCTTGCAGCACTGGCTTGCAGCTTCTGGCGGTTTTTGGTTTTGGCTATTAACCTGCTCCTGCACGGGTTGAGTTTGGATGGGTTACAGCGGTACGGATGTGTACCCTGATCTGTCAGAAAATTGGGACAAGCGTTTTGTGAGGCTGTGTGTGTTCTGATGCAGTCAGAAACAAAACGGGTGTGTTTTTCCCCCGTGCAGCAAGGGGAGACCGTGCGTCTGTGGGCTTTGGTCATGGAGAAAGGCAAAGAAAAATTCTCTCTTTCTCAGCCTTGCTTCCCTCATGGAGGAAAAACATAATTTCTCTTTGGTCTGATGCCATACTGCCTTAAAGGGTACCTGTGTGCTGACTCCTGACTTGCTGCGTTTGACCTTAACATTGATATTTCGTGTACTCTACAGCTTATTCCATGAAGTAAATCTCACACTTTGCTAGGCTACATACCAGCAGGTAAATTGTCCTTGTTATAAGCTGTGACATCCTTCACGCCCAGTGTGAGACTGTGCTGGAAAAGAGCTGGTTTTGCATGAAGAAGGCTGTAACAAATGCTACACGTTGCAGAATTTATATTTTAGTGACAGACGTTTAACCCCAGAAGCAAATTCTTTTGCTTTTCCTTCAATTTCTGGGAAACACTGCCACTTTGCAGTTTGCTGCATGACTTGGCTTTTCATCTTCATCTGATTATTTCTAGGCACAGAAAGAGGAGCATAACCTGAAGCCTCATTTTCTATAGACTGAAAACTGCTTACCCGGTCTTGAAGCTGAGCTGGCAAACCTGTGTCTGGAGGCTTTGATTGCTGCCATGCATTCCCCTGAGAAATGATTATATGGGTCTTTTTCCAGCCTCCTGAGATTGTGCTGGTTCTTTATTTCTGTGGAAAAAAGAAGAAGAAGAAATAATATCACTGCACTGTTTGTCCCGTATGTATTACAATGTAAACAGGAGAATGTGAAATGAGTTCAGAGCCAGCTGTGCTGTTCCTTTACATTCCTCTTGAAGGATTTCTCTGTGTCAACCCAAGAGCACACAGCCCAGAGCCTCTGGTGTTCCAGGCACTGAATAAAGATGGGAAGAGACTTCCCTCGGAAGTATATCGGTTTGGAGCAGTAGTGCATTAACGTTCCTAAAGCCATAGTATCCTGGTGCTGTGCCTAAAGTATTTAAACATTACTCTGCTTTCAGTGTTTGTGAGGCATCTGTGGAAGCATGAGCAATGACATCTGGCCTCGATACCTTTGCAAATTCATCTCTTATTTCAGTCCTGAGGATTTTACAGGCTACATCCTGCCATCCTTTAAAGGTTTTTTTCAAGTTTGATTTGCCAAGCACAGCTTGATTTGTTTTACTGATGACCCCTGAGCAGCAGAAGGTAAGTTTTAAAATCTTGAAGAGTATCATTTTCCAGTAGATTGTTGTTTCAAGTCTTTTCTCTCTTCAGAGAGATATTTGCATTGAAGCTTCCCCACCGAGTAAAGAACGATAGAAAAGCAAAGTGATGTCTTGGCATGGATTTGACGGTGAGGCTTGGTGCCCAGTTACATAAGTGCATGTCCGCTTTGGTTGATGCAAACTGGGTTTCCTTGAGGCATTACCAGCACCTGAACTCTCCTGTATTCAGCCCGACTGTTTGCAATGCACACAGAACATTTTATACAAAAAAAACACCGGTCAAGAAGCAGGAAGCCTTGTCAGATGCATAAAGAAGAGCTGTGGTTGCAAGAAGCGGCCACGAAACATGCTGCAGCAGCAGCCGGCTGCCGAAAGGGAGCAGCTCCTGCAGCTTTCCCCTTCTCTGCGTGTGTTTGGGCAGCGGGCTCCTGGCGTTGGAGTCACCCCCGCCTTTGTGGCTGTGTGCAATCTCTGCGTGGAGCAGCCGGGCGAGCAAAGGACGCCAGAAGGTCGGTCGGTGATGTGTCCCTGCTTGCCGGGGCACGCCTGCGTGGCAGCGGTGCGGTCCCTGGCAGTGCTGCCCAGCAAGCAGCGCCCAGATAAAGGTGTGTTTGCTTCCAAGCCGCACCCTGGGCAGGATCCTGTCCCCTACAGAATGGCCCTCAGCATCCCTACAAAACAGTTCTGTTTTTCAGAAATCACGAGAAGAAAGACACTGTCTCCTCTTGTAACCCTTTCTCAAGCTGGCCAAGGTTTTCCACAGGATCTTTTGCTTGGTCACGACATTGAAATATCAATAACATTACTAAAGCCGAGCGATCTTTCTCTTTTCTGGGTCAGCAAACCAACAAAGATTTTGTGTTTCATTTAAACCATTTTTTTCCTAATAAAGAGTCTGTATGAATTTATTAATCATCCTATTAGTATTGCAGGTCCGTAGGAATTACATGTTTAATGGGTTGTCCCAGCAGTTTTCAGGAATATAAACTCCATCACCTAGCCTGTAAGTCCTGTTTTATTTCAACGGGTTTACTGTTAATCTCTCGTCCTCCAGGGATGTTTCAGTCCTCCATTATAACCCAATAGTTTAAAACTTCCTTAAGTCATTCCCCAAAGCAAATAAACTGAGATAATTCAGGCCCTACTAACTGAACATTCCCAAACCAAACAGCCTTTCACCTCTATTTTCTCTGTTCCTATTCTACATTCATTTTAATTGTCCCATCAGCCTTGCAAGGCTAAAGCAACAGCATTGAACTCTCCAGCCCTTTCGATCCCCTCCATGAAGAGAACTGTGCTTTTCTTCATCTCCCTCCTGTTTCCCTTTTTCAACAATTTTCTTACTGCCCTTTGTATTGCTGCATCACACCTTGGCACGCCCCGATTTTGCAGGACCGGGAGGAATTTGGTGCATCCCTGGTGCCAGATCCTGCCTCAGCATGTACCCAGCAAGCGAAGCAACACTGGCCACGATGGCAAAGAATCTCGGACTGTGTCAACCAACAGCAAACTGCCCTGCTGGCAAGTAACCCCTGTGCAGAAATGGAGATAATTATGAGCAACTAGGGTTTCCTAACTCTTCAGAAATACCTGCAGCTGCACCTCATAGTTCAGAGTATTCCAGGGGCTTGATCTCTTTCCCATTTTCTCTCCCTCATTTCTCAGATGCTCTCACTTTGGGAGCACCGTGAGCCCGAGGAACCTTGGACTCCACCACGCCCTTCAGCAAACCCGACTGACAGCCTATTTGCTTGGGTGAATTAATGAGCGCTCCAACTCCTGATCAGCTACACGCTGTGTGTTGTGTTCTCTGTGCCTAACTGACATAATTTATTGCCCTGATGGTTTATTGTCTCATTAATCATGCTTTGCATCCCCACCCAGCTACAGGCTTCTCCCCACGTTTCTTGTCTGGCCAACAAGCTTGGTTTGCCAAACCTGAATGGCTCTTGTGATCTTTTTCATGGCTTTTTTTCCCCCTTTCTCACTGCTGTAGTCATCTTGCTAGCATTTTTTTTGCTATCGTTTGCTGCCCTTCTGGCCTGTGTTTCATATGCAGCATCCCATCCCTCAATGACACTCAAATTTATCTTTTAATGCCATCTGCCCCATCTGGGAGATCCCCTTTCTTACCTCCTGCTACCACCCTGTCTTCTGCTGGGGTGCCTGGGTGGTCTCCAAGGAGCCATCTGTGCTCTT